CTAAAAAATTCAGTTTCGCCAAATACGTTCTGCCTTTTTTTTGGATTTTCGAATACAAATGATGAAATTGCAATTTTTATTTTCAAAATAATTAAATTGGGGCTTTTATAATATTCAAGGTTTCTGTAAGGGTTCCGAAATTTTTTCCATTAAATAGCAAAAATGCTGTTCAGCAAAATACTTGCCGCCATTTTCTTTAATTTTTGAATGCAGATAATGAAATTATAATTTTGTTGGCATTTTAAAACTAAAAAAGACAGGGTTTCATGGAAGTTTTTTAGCGCACGGTTTGACCTTTTTTCAACAGCCAAAAATGCAGTTCTGCCAAATACTTTTTGCCATTTCTTTTGATTTGCAAATGGGAATGATGAAACTGAAATTTTCATTTGAAAAAAAAAATTTCAAATGGGGGCTTTTTATTCAAGATTTCTGTACGGGTTCTGACATTTTTCCAATGGCCAAAAATTCAGTTCTGCCAAATACTTTCCGCCATTTCTTTTGATTTGCGAATGCGGAAAGAAATTGTTTCATCACGCCAAAAATGGGAACATTGAAATTTCCATAAAATCAACAGTTCGTTTCCGGGATTCATTTTTTTCATGACTTTTTCTCTGTATGAGTAAGTGAATAAATAATCAGAGAATCGATCAAATTTTTGAAATTTTTAAAAATCGGAATGAGGCAAGAATTTATTCTCCATGCTGTCTTTAGACAAAAAAAATTTTCTTCAACTCAGGTTCCATCATGTCAATTCCTGTGTGAAATTTGTTTTTTTAAGAAAAAAATCTATTGATTTATAGGAAAGACAGTCATTTAATATTTTTTGGGAAAATTATTCACATCAATTCAATTCTTAAAATGGCAGACCAAAAAATTTGTACAAATCTGTCTATTACTTCACAAAGCCTTTCTAGGAATGAGCGCAATTTCTTTTGATAGTAATTTCGATTATTCAGAAATCTGAAAAAATGAAGGTTATCTCCTTTTGTTCCTAGGAAATTTCAAAAATATTTTTTATTTCAAATGCATGCATATTCAATTGCATAAAATTTAATAAAGCAGATTTTCAGCATAACAAACTTGGGTTGCCACCAATTTCCACTTCAAATAATTGACACTGCTTCACAGAGAACAGAGTGCATAGAAAGAATTAATACATTAATGGTACTGTCAAGTACTCCTGCCAACTGAAATTTATATTTCTTTGCTGTATTTGGGGAAAATGATCATTTGAGGCTTCCAAGTTTACGTTATTCACCTTTTGAATCAATCAAATAAAAATTTTTTGAAATACTTTGTTATTCCAAGTTGCAGACTTGATCAAAATGAATACAAACATGCTGAACATCTTCTTTGCTGAGCAATTTATTTGGCTCTGACATTATCCATTAGGAAAAACTTGATAGTCAAGAAGTATTACTTCTTATGGTTAGGGTGATGTAAAATGAGAAGACTTATCTTTTAGTGAGTGCAAATACAGGTGGCACCTCACAATTTGACCCTAATCAAATTTGCAATTGGACCCAGGGCAAGAAAAGTGTCAAATTGCAAAGCAGTCAAATAGCAAGACACTTTGTTACATTGAGAAATACAGTATCAGCACAAAAATGCAACAAAAAAGTGGACAAAGCAGGTTGAATTCTGGGGCAGAGGTCAAATTGCAAGTCAGCCTCCCTGCCAATTTGAACGTCAAATTCTGGGATGGTCAAATTGTGAGGTACCACCTGTATTACATTTCCCATACACAATGGACACAATTAAGACCAGACCACCTAGGAATGCTTGAGGGAGTATTTGGGAACTCATTCCTAGTATTGGAGCTTGTGCAAGAAAGGTGCTTGACCATCCACTCATGAACATAATAGAAACCAGGATGGACAAAAGGCAAATGACCAGTGACCAGACACAACACAGATTTTGTCTTTTGAGCAAGACTGTTACCAACAGTATTTGCAAAAGTACATCAGGGAAAAACCACAAGAAGAATGGGGTACAGGTGGTACTTTGCAATTTGACTGTCTTGCAATTTGATGGTAAAATTTGCATGGAATTGGACTTGCAATTCAACCTCTGCCCCAGAATTTGACCTGCTTTGGCCTTTTCTTTGCATCTTTGGGCTAGTATTTCTCACATTAACAGTGCTTCAGAATTTGAACACTTTGCAATTTGACCCTAGTCTGGCAATGGATTAGGGTTGAATTGCAAGGCACCACCTGTTCTATTAATGTGTTGCAGGACATACTCAAACTTTTTTAGGATGACAACTTACTAATCTATTTCAAAAGAAAATATTTTCATCATTAATTCTGCAGTAAAATTTACAGCAGAATTAATACATTTTTTTTAGCTATTTTCAATGCTTTGTTAAATTTCAAATTCAAATCTATGAGGTGGAGCCTTTTCGTGATGGAACTATTTGCAGAAATTGCATCACAACCAATTTGTATTTTGTTCACTTGAATGACTTGCTCAAACATTTATTCTGAAGGTTGAAAAACTGCTTCAGAATTTTTTTTTCATTCATCAAAGCTATTTTACATCCGGTGGCAAACAGACGAAATATATTTTTGAAAAAGCAATGAGATAACTTCCTCTTCTGCCCAACTCACCGGAAGTAAATCCTTGCGACAAGAGTTATTTTTCAACAATTTTTTCAGATTTGAATTTCTTACTAATGATTTTGTTACAAGTACTGTATATCTATTCTATGTCCAATGAGATATTCACAGAAACTATTGATAGAAATCCTTCCTTCGAAATTTAAAATCTTGAGAGAGAAAATTTTCGTCTCTTGGATGAATAAAAACGTTGATTAAAATCAAGTTTACCTAAAAATCACCTTTTATTTTTTTTCATGTTCACCAGAAAGACACACAAGATAGCTCAGGGAAAAATGCACGACGTTGATAAACTTGTGTTGTAAATTTTCAAATATTTTTAAAATTAAAAATCCAAGCATTTGAAAACAATTGAAGACATTAAATTAACCGCCAGCCGCATCCGAATTTTTTACGACGGATTTCCTCATGCACAAAAAAATAAAAATTTGCCCAAAAAGTCGTCTTCCAACCCCACAAAGTCAAAATCACAAATTTTTATTTATTTATTTTTTTAATGATTTCCACTTGAACACCCTTTCCACTCACCTATCGATTCATGCAGGCAGAAACACGAAATCGTTAGGCCTAATTCCGCAGCAGGAAAACAAAGGAATCCATTGGGGAACGGATTATATTCGCCATCGCGTCACACACACAAAGAAAGAAAAGATATGAAGTACAGTGAAGTACTGTACAGTACAGGACTTTCCAGGGATAAAATTATATAAATACTGTAAAGTGAGTTTTTGCTTTTCATACTAGGAAGTTGACAGTCGCGATCGCGAGATTTACAGTCGAGCCCCTCGTTTGCGAGTTCCTGCTTGCTCGCATTCCGCGTAAATCCCGGACATTCTTTACGAGGCGTCGCGAAATTCCCCAAACGTTTCTCTCACTTCTGCTGATTTATGAACTACATTTCAAATATTTTTTTTAAACTTTTTTTCCTGTGATGAACAGTTGATATTGTAGTGCTGCATACGACTGATTCATTTTTTATCACTCATACGAACTGGAGCCAGTTTGAGCGCGAACAGACGCCATGATTCATCACGAGGGCCGTTGGCGGAAAACGAGTTCAGACACGGATTCCCGAGGGGATTTTCCCGCGACTGCGCGTAGGTGTCGCGCCTATCATCCTTACAACGGTTCACATCAATACGCAGTGAAAATTCAATAATTTTTTTAACATGATGCAAAATTAGGGAATCATATTGACAGAAAAAAGCTTTTCTTTCATATACTGAATAGAAGCATTAAAATATATTTGGTTTGAATTTTAATCCAAGTATTGAATTGAACAGCAAGCTTTATATTTATGCTTTTCAGCATTCACAAGGTTCAAGCAATGTTCCCACATCCAAACTCCCTCCCCTTCCCACCCACATTCATCCAAACACATTCTTCACATCAGAATGGAGAACAGAGGAACAAGCTGTACATGGATATTTAAAAAATAAACATCCCAAAATGTACAATTGCACAACTGATGTAAATACGTACACCTTCTTCCTTTCCTTGATCACAAAAACAAAATATCACTAATAAGAATTGCAGCATAAAGCGATTAATTAACCAAAATTAAAGCACAAAGTGTTCAACCTGCTTGCAGATAAGGTTTAGTTGATCAAACAATTTGGAGAGAATCTTTGATGAGAAATCATATAAGGTTAACAGATTATCTTAGACCTCCAAGATTCTGGAAATAGTCTTTTGATTGAATTTAAGGAGTCCCAAATCCTTTTGAAGATCATTTCTGTAGCTGTGGAATGCTGAGCATAAGAAAAGAAGGTGCTCTGGTGATGCATCAACCAATCTTTTTATACTGCAGAAATTAAACCACTTAAACACCTTAGAAAATTTGATGAAAATTCTTATTCAAGGAAAATAATAATCTAATCAACAAAGTGGTGGGATTGTGGTTTAGGCCATTTTCTTTCTCAACTCCACTTTCTTTGCAAAAATCACCAAAGTTAGGTCTTTGTGCTTCATCCTCCTGGTGACTCATTCAGAATAAAATTTTACCAGTCAATTTTCGCCTGTTACTTCGTTTTGTTTCACTTGGCATTTAATTAAGGAAGCACTGCAATTAATTAACGACAAAAAACATTTTTAAATGATCATCTGGGAAGAAAATTTAACAATACAGTGATGATGGGTAATTGAAGTACTTATTGTTGACAAACCAAGATCAAAAATGCATTTCTGAACATCCCATGCAATGCAAATTTGATGCATCTGAATTTGTGTTTACATTCTTCCAAAATCTTCCAGAATTCTTGTTTTCGGGTCTTTCGAAAAAAAAAAAAAGTGTTTGATTCTCGAAAAATATGCTGCGTGTGCCTCGATCATCCTCGATTCGCTCAACATCGGATAAAAGCAGAAAACGATGGTTTTCAACATTCAATTCGACATTGGTTGCTCCAAAGCATCGTCACTCAAAGAAAAGTACTCCGTAACCGTACTCACAGCAACGTGTCGAAGAGACCCCGAAATAGAAGATTGGCTGTTGTTCCTCGACAATGAAGGATGACTCGGAGATCTGCCAGCAAATTCGCTGTAAATCAACAAAACGAAAATACCGGTATTGATATTTTTAGCGAACAATCCACGAGGAATTCCCTCAAGTCGACAAAGAAAATGCACCAACAAAACCAAATCCAAGAGCAAGTGTACAGGCCATACAAAAATAAAAGAATTACGGTAGAATCTCGGGATAAAGAATAACTGCTGAAGGCGAATTCTTTTTTTATTCTTCTGCCCGAAAAACATGAATGCAGTGTCAAGACACTCGAAGTAGGACGTGGGTCACACTTGGAGATACAATTCAATCAGAATTTTAAATTGAAAAACCTACGAGTGTTTTACTTGATGAATTATGGCATTCAAGGTGTCCCCTAGAACAGTGTTCTCCAACCTTTCTGGGCCTGCAGGCTGGCAAATTGAAAAAATATATACGTTATTTGCAGACTGGCAAAATTCCCAAAAAATATTCTGTGGACTGTATAAGTTTCATACATTTTCTGCAGACTTGTCAAAGCTTTGCTTAAACGTTATCAGGCAGGTAGATACAAGAAAAATGCATTCAAGAATGTCATCAAACAATAAAAAAGGTTTGCTTGGAGAAAGGTTTTTCTCAGGATGAAAAATTAAAAACTGATTTCAGCAGGTGAAATTTTGTGTATTTGGAGAAAAAGTCAACTTTTGTTTTCATCAGATAATTCAACTGCCATTCTACTTCCAATATTGCAGGTCAAGACAACAGACTTCCACCAACTTTCAATAAATTCATTATGCTGACAATTTCCTGCAGACCAGCAAAAAATTTTCTGCAGACTGGCACCAGTCTGCAGACATCAAGTACGGGAACAGTGCCCTAGAATACATGTTCCTGGCCACAAACCAGCTGACTGCTTGTGTTATTTATTTTCCCTGCACTTTATTCCTGTTCTCTTGCTGGGATTGCCAAAATTATACGAGATTGTCAGCAGCAAAAAAAGGCCAAGCATCAATTGAGCAAATCTAAAAAAACACACAAAGTTCATGAAAAAAAAAACCGCAAAGCAAAGGCACATGGAGGAGCTGATTTTCAAAAAAACCACATACACAAAAGAGCAAGCACCAAAAGAACCCCCAAACAAAACATACAACACTGAAAAAATAGGTGCAACAAAATACTGCACTACAATAGTTTGCATGTTTCAAAAAAAATGAAAAGCACAGAAAATATTACAAGCACATAATAGCAACAATCAAAAACAATCCCCCATAAATAAAAAAAAATCAAGTACCAAACCGCAAGCATTACAAAAATACCAATAATATCTTCACCCTCCAGCTTCTTTATTTTCGCAATAAAAAATAAAAAATCCTTGTGCATTCTCTGCTCACCCGTCGGAATCGGAGGCCAGAAACAAGGAAAAGTTGACATTGTCCAAGTCGTACACAATGTCCATCCCCAGAGACTCCACATCGCTGACCTGAGACAACTGGTCCGAGTTCGGGTCACTGGGTTCAATATTCGCGGGTTGCTGTCCCTGAACCTGCTGCGGTTGCTGCTGTGCTTGGCCACCCTCATTCTCTTGCGACGACTCAATATCACTCTTATACGCCATGATTAATATTCAAACTAAACAGAAAAAAAAACAAAAAAGCTCCTGCAAATATTCAGAACAAAGTTTCAAAGAAATTCAGCTTTCTCTTTCTGAATCATGAAAAAAAAACTATTTCAAACAGCATCTCATTGAAAAAAAGAACCGACAAATTCTATTGAGTTTGATAGACATGCGCGTCAATATGGAAAAAACAAATCATTCACTCCCAGTTTCTTTTTTTTTGTTTTTTAGGTACAGTAAAATTGAACGTCCTTCACTCATACTCACAATTGTCTCTCCCTAAACATTCATCCTGAGATTTCCTCCATTCAGTTTCTATCAAGCTTGACAGAAAAACAACTATCCGAAAAACTATCTTGTGAAAACGCGAAAAAAAATCACACAAACGAAAAAAAAAACATCAGGAATGCCCAGGACTGCAAAAAATCCACAAAAGTTTCTCTGAAAACACATCCTCGCTTCAAGAGGCACCACTTCGGAGAAACGCGTGATTTTTGCATCATTAAGAAGAGGCCGAGATCTTGTTACTTTAACGTAACACACAAGTTGTCTTCTTTGCCTCACTCACAAGAAGTGATCATTTGAATTCAGATTTCAAATAAACGCACACATCGTCCAAGATTTAAAATTCCAACTCCCCTAAAAAAAGAAATCACTCTGAAGAAAATCTAGCAGAAAAACAACCGGATCCACGCAAATATAAGACGCTCTTTCAATTCTAAAATACTTAAGAAGCTAAATCATTTGCATCAAAGAATACGCCAAGAAACCTCGAACACAACGTGGTACGAAATTTAACCAATTCGGAATTGATCCTCAATAATAAATGCATTACTCAAAATAAAGCGGAATTAATTTCTGAAGCATTAACAAATTTAAAAAAAATCTACTCAGATCAATACGTTGCTTTTCTCACTCTTCAATTTTGGATTCTCGGCCTTCAGTATTTTGCCAAAACTTGAATTCAATCTTGGATATTGGGTTCCGAAATTTTTAATCGATTAAAGAATTAATCTTTTACATGGATAAATATACAGTATTTTTCAACTACCACAAAAATGACACAGAATTTTTAAAAATTGTATATTTTTTAAAGAATTACGAATAATTTAGCGTCTCGTATCGGCGTAAAAACGGCAAGAACAAGAAACGTAACTGTAACGTAATAAAGTGATTCTTTCTCTCTGCGACGAGAAAAGCAACAAAATGATTAACACCAAGGAGCCATCTTGAAAAAACCAAAGAGAAAGATTCGAAAAAATTCGCGAACGCAGAAAAGACAAAAACATCCATAATAATACTGCTCCAACAGGAGAAAAAACAAAAATTCCTCAGACAAAGTGGAAAGATCACAACAAGCCAAGCTTCTTCCACACAAAAAAAAAAAAAAAAAAAACGAACCACCTTCTCCTCGACATACCAACCACATCATTACGTCACGCATAACATGCCTTTTGTAGCCTCGTTTATCCTCTTTCTCTCTTTTTTCTTTCTTGAGCTGAACTAATCTCCTCATTTTCTTTTTAAAACGTCGAAGACAAGACTTTCAAAAAAAAAAGACAAAAAATGGGGGCGCACAAAGTTAGCTCACAGGAATCAATAGAAACTGCGCGGCTGTTTCTCCGTCCTCGCCCGAGCCCGAGGGCATGAGCATCGGGACGAGTTGCTGGCCCGAGCCGTCCATGCCGTCGGGCAACGGCGACGTTTGAATCTCGACGGCGGCTGTGCCTGGCCCGCCCGTCGACGACAAGATGATCTCGGCACCGTGTTCGGTTTTGATCGTGGAATGCAGATTGCCTGCCGGCATCAGGATCGTGTGGTCCAGGGAGCCTGAAAATCCAAAAAATATTTTAAAAATTTGTTTCATCATCCGGGGGAATTTTCATCAACGGCAAATTTTTAATAAGTCGGTTATCATCATAACCCTGCAAATTCTATGCTTCAACAACGACAACAAGAAAAATAATGAAAGAATATTTTCAAAACGCAGAAGACAGATTAGAAAATTAATTCTGCAGAGAATCGCATTCAGCAATTCTCAACAAAAACGAGTTTCAATTTCTTCGTAACAGTGAATGTTGATAACTCAAACATCCACATTTTTTTTCCAATTCACTCGGATTCCCTGGAGGCATTTTGGCCATAATTCTTTTGAGAAAAAAGGAATCTGACGATTTTTTGGGAGGAAGTGAAAGAATCTTTGGGCAAATTGACACCTTTGCTTCCAAGTTCAGCATCCTGTTAACTTCTTCACAAGGCAGTTTTGGGCCAAAAACAAAAAAGGATTTCTACTTCCTGTAATTCTTCTTTTCGAGGCAAAAATGGCGGTTTCCCTACTTTAAACCCGCATTAAATAATTTTTTCTAGTCACTTGGAATCAAATTCAAGAGCTTTCAGCTGTTATCAAAAGTAACGTAAAACGGTTGATGATGATCAAATCAGTTCTTTAGCCAAAAAAAAGATCAGCAATTTCAACTTCCTTGAATTATTTTTCTGAGTCGAAAATGGATGTTTCCTCAAGTTAAATTTGTTGTTGGTCCGTTAAATTCAACTTGAAGATCTTAAGCTGTATTCAATAGTGAAGAAAAACGGATTAAGATGATCAAATCAGTTGCTCTACAAGGCAGTTTTTATAAAAAAAAGATCCCTAATGAAAACTTCCTTTAATTATACCTATTTTTTCGAGGCAAAAAAAATGATAGCTTCCCTAACTCACAACTTCTTGAAAAAATTCCAGGGGACCATTAAAAAAAGGTAATTTTTTTTCATGCTGATCCCTTAGAATTTGAATTCAACTGAATTAAACACTCCTTAAGTGGCGGAAAACGAATAATGATGAGCATATCAAATTTCTCAACAAGGCAGCTTTGGGCCAAAAAAAAAAAAAAGGGTTAAAAATTTAAACTTCCTTCAAATTTTTTTTTCAAGGCAAAAATGGCAGTTTCCTCAACTCAAATCCCGTTTTATTTTTTGTGGCTGGTCCTGTTGAACTTGACTTGAAGAGTTTTCAACTCTACTCTGAATCAGACTCACCAACATCTTCAGCCTTGGCCGTCATTACAATTAAATTCAACTTGAAGATCTTAAGCTGTATTCAATAGTGAAGAAAAACGGATTAAGATGATCAAATCAGTTGCTCTACAAGGCAGTTTTTATAAAAAAAAGATCCCTAATGAAAACTTCCTTTAATTTTACCTATTTTTTCGAGGCAAAAAAAATGATAGCTTCCCTAACTCACAACTTCTTGAAAAAATTCCACGGGGACCATTAAAAAAAACGTTAATTTTTTTCGTGCTGGTCCCTTAGAATTCGAATTCAACTGTATTCAGAACTCCATAAGTGACGGAAAAAGAATAATGATGAGCATATCAGTTTCTCAACAAGGCAGCTTTTGGCCAAAAAAAGGGTTAAAAATTTAAACTTCCTTCAAATTTTTTTTTTCAAGGCAAAAACGGCAGTTTCCTCAACTCAAATCCCGTTTTATTTTTTGTGGCTGGTCCTGTTGAACTTGACTTGAAGAGTTTTCAACTCTACTCTGAATCAGACTCACCAACATCTTCAGCCTTGGCCGTCATTACAACNGGCAGTTTCCTCAACTCAAATCCCGTTTTATTTTTTGTGGCTGGTCCTGTTGAACTTGACTTGAAGAGTTTTCAACTCTACTCTGAATCAGACTCACCAACATCTTCAGCCTTGGCCGTCATTACAACATACGTCTGACCGTCCACAGTCTGGTACCCGTGTCGATCATCCTTCATAATGAGCGTATGCCCGGAATGCACCATCGGCATTTGCAATTTCGCCTGATGATGCTGCTGCTGCTGTTGTTGCTGTTGGTGGTGATGGTGATGAGGAGGATGATGGTCCATATCATCCACTTTGCCATAGTCGATGGTTGTCCCTGGAATGTTGGGCTGGTTCTTCTTGATGAGGCTTTCAATGTTGCCGGGACTCGCTTCGGCCGGGTGCGACGTTTTCAAGTGCGTGAGAATGTGGTGTTTCCTGGGGAAACCCTGGCTGCAAATGGCGCACTCGAAGGGTTTCTTGTCGCCGTGGATGAACATGTGCGAGTAGCGATTGTCCCACGAGGAAAAGGCCTTGTTGCACACGGGGCACGGGTATTTCCGCTCGCCCGTGTGGGTTCTTCTGTGCTTCAACATGGAGCTGGGAACGAAAAGGAGAGAGAGAGAGAAAAACGGGTTCATTTTCAATCACTTGACACTCACAAAAACTGTTCACCCCATTTTTCTTTGACAATCTCATTTCATGCTTTTTTAAATTAAATCTTTGAATCCGCGGAAAAAGAGCAAGTGATAACGATTTTTCTCAGATTTTCCGGCTTCTCTCCCTTTGTTTCTCCTCGCGAAATATGATGTTCAAAATGTTCTGCATGTCCTTTTTCTTCTTGCCAAAATAATGAAGAACAATTTACCTCGATTTCTGTCTCTCCCAAAAATCAACCAGTAATGTTTTATCAAATGATTTCAAGCATTCTCTTCAATCGTTTTGTCATCATCCAAACTGATCTTAATGCATTCCCACAAATTCCACAAGAGATATTTTGAAAAAATAAAAACAAACTACAGTGAAACCTCGATTTAGAGCCACAAAGTTCCATCATACAAATGTTCCTCAATTTTGTTCTTGATTGTTTGGGAGAAAATCCCGACGTTTACTTTTTACCCGGTTTTAGTTTCTTTAACTCCGGAAGAAAATCCTTATAGTAATCCATTAAAGATTTTCCGTGTACGGGTACGAGTCCTAATAAAACTTTTGATTATTTCTGAATTCACATGTCATTGGGTGGTATTATTTGAATGACCTCAACAGAGAAGGGCATCTCCATAACTGGGAGAGCCTCTTCTAAAATATTTAAAAACACTTCATCAGACCTTGGAATTTTGTGATATCATTGAAAGGTTGATGTATGACTAAAAGGAACAGCTCTGCTCTTCCACTCAACCCAATATGTGCAAAAATCTTACTTATCCCGTAATACTGTATTTACTCAAGTACCACATGTCCTCAAGTGAGACACACAGCCAGGTTTTTGCAGTTGACAATTTTGATACAGTACATGTGTATCCCTAAGTGAGACATGAAACCCACTTTTCAGGGACTCTAAAACTGCAATAAAGTACAGTACAGTACTGTATTTGAAAAATACGAAAACCCAAATTTAAATTTAGACATCAATTTAACCTGAATTCAACTGATTTTGGATTGTTTCCATTACAATAGGTTTTTCTGCTGAACTTAGTTCAAAATTTCCAGTTAGAATCAAGTATTGAAAAAAGCATTATTCAAGTTTTAAAACTTTTTGAAAAATGCATACCTGCCTCTGATGCACCCTTTCTCCTCTCAAATTAAAAAAAAAATTGGCATGGTACCTGAGTGAATACAGTACTGTACTGAATAATCTTGAATGCATTATAAAAAAAATAGCACATTTGAGCTTCAACTTGTATCCTGTGGCTTTCTCTCTCTCTTATAAAACAGACTAAATGGTTCAACTATTTCACAAACAAGCTTATTTTGCCTATAGTAGAAGCCCTCAACAAAATCTTCCTGTCATAAGATACCCCCAATTTAGAACCATAAAGATGGGTCTGCACCAATTAAGGCATTGAATCTTTTTTTCTTTTGAAAAGCCCTTTTCCCGCCATTTTTTTGCAAGTCACAGAAGAAAAACGCGAAAGAAAAATATTCCACCAACAACACAGCATCTCCCAGACTGACCTAGAATACAAGAAAGACTGTCCACAAATATTGCACGAATATTTGCGATTCATCTGATGAACGGAATTGACGTGTCGGCGCAGAGAGCCGAGAGATCCATAATTCTTTGGGCATTCGGGACACTTGAAAGTGGCGTCCTGCATGTGCGTCGCTCGGAAATGGGCGTCCAAATTCGTCTGATAATTAAACACCTTGCCGCAAACTTCGCACTGGAACTTTGGCCCGCCCGTGTGTCGCAACACGTGGGCCTTGAGAGCGTTTTGCGAGGAGAACAACATGCCGCACATTTGGCACGAGAATTTCCGCTCTTGGTGATGCATTCGCAGGTGGTCCACCAGGGTTTGCACGGAACTCAGGATTTTCCCGCAAATTTCGCAGTTGGTTCCGTGGGTCAGCAGGTGTTGTTTGCGTTCCGCTCGAGTGGCAAACGAGGAGTCGCACAGGTTGCATCTGATGACTTCTCGGCCTTCTTGATGGCTTCTCCGGTGCTGTTTCAGACTCCTCGGGTTCTCGAATCTAAAATTCAAAAACAAAACGTTGAAAACCAAAACTAAATAAAATAAATTCCCAGGAAAATAATTTTAAACACTTTCAATCCTCGAGTAAGCGCCACCCTTTCTCATGGCACATCGTTTGGCACTATATCATGGGTATTGAAAGAGAGACAGCTTCATTTGAGCTTTTCTACTATGGGCTTGTTCACAGAATTGTTAAGCCATCGAACTTGTTTTGCATCAGGATCAGACAAAGCAAAAAAAATGATTTAAAGCTCAAATACACTGTTTTTAAATAATGCACATTTCATATGACAAAATACAATGGATTTTCAAACATATTCTGTCCAGTAAAAGAGCAAAGCTTTCATTTGAGGTTTTATTTGCATTTGAGTTTCACATCATGCGCCCTCATGACGGAATCACCAATGTTTCCATAAAAACTCTATTTTTTTTAATTTTCATGAAGAAAAGTGTCATGCAACAGCGAAAATATTGTCAACAATGTAAATTTAAAAAATAAAATATATTCAAAATTATCATGATGGGCATTGGCATCCGATTCCCAGTTATAATTGAACAATATTCCTGGAAACGGAGCTAAATTTCTTCAATTGCTGCCCATTTTTCATCCATGACCAGGGATTTTTGTGGCGCTAATTAGGGTTTCTGTTAGCACAAAATGAAGGGACATTTTTTTTGTCTGGGAAGGTCTTGACATACAGTACTTCCAGTTTGATCATCAAAAAAAGGACTACCATATTTACCCAAGTACTATGCACCCTCAAGTAAGACACGCACCATGGTTCTTCAGTAAAAAATGTTTCATAAAAGGGTATCCCGAAATAAGACACGCACCCTATTCTAAGCAACTCTAAAACTGTAATACTGTACCGTCCTTCAAAAATAAGAACAATCAAATTTACATTCAGACATGAATTGATCCTGAATTTAACTGATTTTCTATTGTTTTCTTTGAAATACGTTTTCCTGTCAACATTGGTCCAAAATTTCCCAATAAAGTCAAATATAATGCACATCCAAGCTTCTAAAACACGTTTAAAAATTTACACCCACCTATGAAGCGCATAACCATTTGTCCTCTCAATTTTGAGAAAAAAGGTGCAAATGATACTGTACTTGAGTAAAAGTAGTATATCATGCACAAGATCCCCTCATCGTTTGCCCAATATCCTAAAACGATTATCACAGTCGTGACACCAAATCAAGGGTTGACTGCACTGAAATAATCACCTAGAACCACATTCATTGCAGCAATGCGGCCTTTCTTCCACGTGGTGTTGGTAATGCTCATTGATCTCACTTCGGCTTTTGAACGTCTCCATGCATCCGTACTTACAACGATGATCTTCCTTATGATTCCCATTACAATGTTTCACAAGACGGGCGTAATTGACAAAATTTAAATCACATATCGAGCATCTGAAAACACTCTGGTCGTTGAGTTCGTGTTCTCTCACGTGACGACCGAAATCTCGCTTGTTGGAGAACTTTTGATCACACGCGGGACACTGACGACTTTCATTCGACGCAGAAGCGGCGTTTTTGTGTCTTCGCAAAGAATGCGTCTTGAGCTTGATTTGAGTGGAGAAGCGTTGCCCGCAAATTTCGCAGATGAAAGGAAAGTTTGCCAATTCCGCAGAGAATCTGTCCTCGTGACTCTCGTAGTGTTCGGAGATCAGGTTTTTATCATTCGACGGAAACATCGCCTGTTTTGATGACACGAAAAGAACACACGATTCACACTTCGAGGCGAATGAAAAACAAAAATGCAAAAAGAATACCTTGCATATCTGACAGTGCATATTTCCAGGTTTCCGGATTTTCTTGGCCTTCTTCACTGGAACACGAGAAACGGGAGACGAACTGAAGGGTTTGTCCAGATCAAAATCGGAATCGAAATCGGAAATGGGACTGACGTCCCCGTTGGTCAACTCTGGACTCATGAGAAGCATCTCTTCGACTTGATCGTCGAAATCCACGTTTTCGACCAACAGGGAACTGTTTGATCTGTTCTCTTCATTAGCGCTGTTGTCTTCGATCACTTGAGTTTGCTGTTGAATTAATAGAATTTATTAATCACGGGGGCAGTTAAAAAATCACCTACACTGATCATTATCTGCGAGGACGTAAATTCTACGCGAAGTCTCAATAAAACGAATATTTCAGTACAACATGTAGCGTTTTCCTCGAAGCATGTAGCGTCGACATTCTCCGCAAAATGGCAGAAGGATGAGTTTTCAAGGTCGAAAGTCGACGATATGACTTTCGATACGACCGCAGTGATATGATAGCTACGCATGCTTAAATGCGATATTCTTCCTGCATTTCACTTCAAAGATCACATCCTCACCTTAATGCCTACCCGAGGTTCACGAAACCGTTGCACGAGTCTCCGACGACAGTCCAGCAAGTCTGCTTCAATGTTTCCATACTCTTCCAACAACCGATGGCACTGACGACACACTAGATGATCCGAATCGTGCAAACCGTCGTCGAAGGATCCTTCGAACAATTCGGACCAGGCTAAATCGGATACAGGTTTAGTGCCTTCGCCCTGAGAGATCTTTATTATGCCACGGGTCTTGCTGTTGAGTGGCGTGCAACAGATGGAGCAGCTGACAGGCTTGTCCGAATCGGCCAACTCCATTGCGATCACTGGCTCACTGCATGCGACGAGCGTGCAGCTTCCCCGGTTTTCACGAAGTTGGTATCATTTAATATGTCACTGGAACAAAGATAAGCAAAATAATGCACGCTGTTTCCATACCAGAGGGAAGTTTACACCGAAAGAATATTCTCAAGAACGTTTTTTGGATACCACACATGCTCCGAAGAGGACGAGAAGCACTTGAGGCTGGCCTACACCTCGTATATAAATAGAAATGTCAACTGGACAGCTGGGGAAGTTATTTTCTAGGTGATGTGGGAGAAAAAATGCCGTTATCACCAATTCACAACACAATTTCCCCTGCTGGGAAAAATTACACGTGGCTGGACATGCCCATATGAATGGTCCTAGCCTTCCCATCTTTCGTTCTAGTTGCAGTCAATCTGAAAGAGGGTTCTTTTCCAAATAAATGCAGTATTTCGATGAAGTTCGAACATAGTTATCGACAGAATTTATTTTCCATTCCCGACTGAATCTCGAAATGAGGAGCCCGCAATTTCGACTAGAGACAGTCGAGAATTACTGCCCTCATGACCTCAACATGTAGTGTGCTTTCCAATCGGTAAGTTTTACGCTTTAGTGACTCGGTTGCACTTCTTGCTAATAGTTTGTAGGTTATAAGGCTAGTTTCCGTAGTTTTCTTATACTTTTCCTTTCTTAGCATTACTTAATAGCCCAGGAGAAAATCCTCGCCTAGAAAAAGTAACTCGAGCGCCGGTGGCACCACCTTTCAGGACTAATCTTTGCATGAGAGGTCATCACGTTGGGAAAACTGGACGGCTCAAGCTACCTATCTACCGTACATTACTGTATCTCTCAGAGATAATGTATGTAGAATTATGCAGTTGAACCTAAATAAATGGAACCTCTCCAAAATACTTCCTGGTGTCAGAATTTTTCAAGTCCCTGTCCAAATATTACTCACACCAATGCATTGGAAAGCCTCCTGAATTGAAACACACTTCCCATCAAACCATGCCTCAAATTTTCTGGAGGCCTAATGATGGTAATTATTTTCTTTGCACAGGAAAGGAAAAAGATGAAACTTCCGCTTTGATGTGCTTTGAAAGGAAGACTATAATTGAGCAAATGAACACTTGCCTCATCCTTCAGCACCCTGTAAATGCATTTAAAAAGCAGCTGAAGGCAAATATCACTAATTCAAATATCCTGTTATTATTTCTTACATAAATGCACAAGATATGTCTGCAGTGTGAAATTCGAAAATTTTTATGTTATTCATAGACAGTACCTGTATATGATGGGTTTCACAAAATCCCTCAATACCTTGAGAACATCACATAAGTAGCTAAATTTAAATTTTTTTGCTTTATAACCACTATATACCACTGTAGTTGAAGTTTCTGAGACCTTAATTGAACAAAGTTTCAGAACTTATGCATGCAAAGACAGGTGATACGGATTATTGATAAAATACTTTTCATGAATTATCAGGCAACTTTACACAAGGTAGAACATGCTGTGGAGTGAGTACTCCCCAAATATTCACATGAAAATTCACCACTTTTCTTAGAAGCACTCTCATCACAACCTTCAACATCATGAGCAAGGATCACTCCTTATTATTCCTGTTATATCATCTTCTGTTCAAATTTGTGCATAAATTAAATTTTAATTTGCTGTGATGTGCTTCCTGTGTTTATTCCACGGATCATTTATTTGACATTCAATAAATCATTTGGAAAAACCAAGAACATGCATTCTTAATGACCCCTTGAATGCAGTACCTTTGGTACCAGCCACAAACCCCCTGCTGATTACTTGTGTTCAATTTTGTTTTCCACTGCATCTTTGTCATTGATTTTCTTGGTGAGTTATGCTTCCATACCTCACAAGACATCTATACGAACACTTTTAATAATTAGGCAAAAAATAATTTCCCCAATTTAACCTTCACAAATCAGACCATATTCCTAAAATTGAAAACATTTTTTGGATTCCTTCCAAATTATTAGGTATAAATCCCTTTTTCATTAATTAAAATACTTCAAAAATGATCATTCAACCAACAACAGGATACTTTTCAATAAACAAATAAATCTTCCAGTTTTATGTAGTCCAACGTTTTTGTCAGCATTCAGTCACACCACAAAACAAACAAATCGCCGGCGGAAAAAATTTTTTTGAAGCTGTCCCAAACCAGGAATTTTTTTCATGATCATCATCATCTAAGGCAACCTCGTCAGCTGAATCTTTCTCTTTTTTTTTCAGCAATCACGCTCACAAAAAAAGGTTTCCTGTTTCTTGTCAGCGCGAAATTCAAAGCATTCCTGGTGCGGCAATTTCTCATAAAAATACTGCCAAGTTTTTTTTCCGTGGTCACACACACGCACACACGTACAAATACACAGGCCAAAAATTGCGAATGATGGATACGTGACAGCGCAAAAAAAATTAACTCGCCTCATGAACGAACTTTCCAATTTCGCCGCTGAAAATGTTCCCTCAGGCGATTGGGAAATCTTGTTAATCACTTGCCCCGCCTTCAAACACAGTCCGAAACCCTGATGGAAGGCAGGTGCAAAATTAATCAATCAAGCACCCGAACAAAAAAAAAAAACAATCATTAACCATAGTAGGCATATAACGTAAAATTCAACAGTACTGGCAGTCAATTAACTCGTGGGTACGGCAAAAGACGCATCTCATGCTGCAAAACTGAACCCGCAGCTCGTCTTTGCTTAATTAGCTCCCACATATATTTTTTTTTCAGTATTCAATTAGAAATTCCGGGTTACAATTACGGAAGCAACAAGTGTTTTTTTCTCAACTTCCCATCAACTGCCTCTGGTTGGAAAAAAAAAAAAAAAAACGTCAAGGTTCGCTCATTTCTTCTTTAAATGCCGCGACCGAGAAAAATTTCGCGAATATTCGACGAAGGAACGTTTGAAATTTCCGAAATATTATTTTTAAAAAACCATTTCTTCTGCGAAAACTCTTGAATCGGATTTGTTGTCTTTACGAATCTCACTTCGGTTTCAATCTGCAAGAAAAAAAAAAAGCCTCGCAAATTTGCAACACGGAAGCACGAACAACATTTTACAACAAATGATGATGCCAACAGCCCCAGATGGAAATCAGCAGACACGATTTTCCCTCTCGAGATTGGCCTCATTTTTTTTCCTTTTTTGGCGGATACTTCCTGCACATTTTTTGCATCACTTCTCATTTTTTCGGGATCTCACTTCAACAGACCCGAAAAACGTTTTCTGGAATGTCAGGCAGGTGTCACCTGAATCGCTAACCCGACCGAAAATAACTAGAATCGATACAATTTTACCAAACGTACGTATTTTAATCCTAAATCCAAACGAAAAGCCCCAGAGAAAATCCATGCGCCACCAGCGCAAAAACCCCATTTTCTGAAACTCTCGAACTCAATTGAAAAATTTTTTTAATTGGAGTTGCGGTCATCAATTTTTTCGTTTGATCCACAAATTTAGAAAGAATATTCGGCAGACCGAGCCGTAACATGAGAAACAAAAGACGACTTCTTTCACTGCGCGAAAAATACTTTCAGTTGAATTTTTCAAAAAATTTCCTTTCTGAAGCTGAGCATTGACACGATCAGACTTCAGTACTGCGTAAAATCTTTGCTGAAATAAAAGCGGAGATTCCCTCGGAGGTGAGCAAAATATTCTCTAATACCTCGAAGAGAGAAAAATATGTATAAAATTTCCATCTTGTTTTTTTCCTTTTTCTATAGCTGCCAAAAATCATTAAAGCCCAGTTTCCGAAAATTAGCTCGCCTAAAACACCTAAAATCGTATCCCAATATGATTCAGGCGACACCTATGGAACAGGAAACGAAAAAAAAACCACGTGAAGAATCAATTTTTCAAGAATGTTGGAGCTTCGATAAAAATAAAGTACAATATCATATTCACTCAAGTAAGACGCTCACCAGGAGTTTTCCTACAAATGCTTCTTAAATAAAATTTTTACGCCATGTAAAGCACATAACCCTTTTTAGTTAAAACTAAAACTGCAAAACTTCAAAAAGAAGAACACAAAAAATTGAGTTTAGACGTGAATTGATCCTGAATTTAACTGATTTTCAGTTTTTTTTCCATTAAAATATGTTTTCAAATAAAATAAGCCCAACTGTGACAAAAACACTGCAATATTAAAAAAAAGGAGACCACCAGAAATTAAATTAAAGCATGAACTAAACCTTAATCCAATCAATTTTTAAATTATTCCAGCAAGAAAAAAAAAATTAGATTGCAATTGGTTCAAAATTTCCCATATGATGCACAGCAAATTGTATAATATGTTTTGAAAATTTTAAACCTGCCTATAAGATTCTCAATTTTCTTCTCAATTATCTCTTCCTCTCAATTTTGAGAAAAGAGGTGCGCGTAGTACTTGAGTAAATACAGTACACATACTGTACCTTATTCCTCAATCTTGGCATGTTTAAAAATAAAATCAAGCGAAGTCTGACTCCAAGATTTTCCTTTTTCTATAGCTGCCAAAAATCATTAAAGCCCAGTTTCCGAAAATTAGCTCGCCTAAAACACCTAAAATCGTATCCCAATATGATTCAGGCGACACCTATGGAACAGGAAACGAAAAAAAACCACGTGAAGAATCAATTTTTCAAGAATGTTGGAGCTTCGATAAAAATAAAGTACAATATCATATTCACTCTAGTAAGACGCTCACCAGGAGTTTTCCTACAAATGCTTCTTAAATAAAATTTTTACGCCATGTAAAGCACATAACCCTTCTTAGTTAAAACTAAAACTGCAAAACTTCAAAAAGAACACCAAAAATTGAGTTTAGACGTGAGTTGATCCTGAATTTAACTGATTTTCAGTTTTTTTCCATTAAAATAAGTTTTCAAATAAAATAAGCCCAACTGTGACAAAAACACTGCAATATTAAAAAAAAGGAGACCACCAGAAATTAAATTAAAGCATGAACTAAACCTTAATTCAATCAATTTTTAAATTATTCCAGCAAGAAAAAAAAAAATTAGATTGCAATTGGTTTAAAATTTCCCATATGATGCACAGCAAATTGTATAATATGTTTTGAAAATTTTAAACCTGCCTATAAGATTCTCAATTTTCTTCTCAATTCTCTCTTCCTCTCAATTTTGAGAAAAGAGGTGCGCGTAGTACTTGAGTAAATACAGTACACATACTGTACCTTATTCCTCAATCTTGGCATGTTTAAAAATAAAATCAAGCGAAGTCTGACTCCAAGATTTTTTTTCATGAGAAAAAATAAGGAATTTCTCCTCACAGTCCAGAGAGAATTTTAAATCTCCTAAAAACTGAAGAGAGGGAACCAAAAAAATTAAAATTTTCATGTTCTATAGCTGCCAACGACATGAATTTACCAATCCTTGTTTCCCCACACAAAACAAAACACAATTTCCTCCTCCTCCTCCTCCACAAACACAAAAAGAAAACAAACACCCACATCATTTTCAGTTGCGTTTGGAAGAATTGATCAAGTATTTGCAGCAGTGAGTCAACAACTGCTTCTCGGCTGCCTTCTGGTCCTCGCCAGCCAACTCCCGCGTGTAAATATCCATCCCGTACTGGCCCTCCTCCGGGAAACTCGTGTAAAACGTGACGATATCGTCAGTGACAGCGTGGGACACGTGCTTGGACAATTTCCGCTCCTCAGACCCGTTCTTGTGCAACGTGGCCATAAAATCCGTGAGTGGATGCGACATGCGAAACTGAATTTCCAGGTCTCTGGCTGCAAAAATCAGGGCATCCGGGTGCGTGATCGGGACAAGGCCAAAGAGTCGGGTGGCCTTCGTGGGGCCCCATTCGCCGCTGGCGCAATCGGGCAGAGGCACCATGACGGTTTGCAGGTCTTTGCAGACGATTTGAAATTTGCACACGCTTTTGAATTTCATGGGCTCGCCAGTGAGGTATTCGTGCGGGGTGACGGCGTTGGCGAAGATGTCCAGCAGGAGTGGGCCACTGTGCGGGGCGTGGACTCGGAATGCAACCACGCTACCCACGACCGACTATATAAAAAAATTTTTTTAACAACAACAAAAACGAAGAGGAGAAATGAGGATTAAACAGGCCCATGAATTCCCAACAACTCACAAAAATTTCACAATTCATGTACAGGGGACACTTGGTCAACAAACCACGCAGTTTAACTTTCTGATAAACAAATTTTTGGTTTCCAAAATGGAAAAAATCCCTCAGATAACGAACCGAATTTGGTTCACAAAATTTTTTTCTGGGGAAGTAAAACCAAAATTTGATTTTGAGGCTGAAAGTTGTGATACAATAAAAGTGCGATTAATTCACCTATGTGCTCATGTAAAAATTCCTTCCCCTTGGCACTTTATTGTGTTTTAAAATTTTGTTTCAGCAACATTATTTATACACTTTTCTATGACACAATTACTTGCTCTTCTGTGCTTGGTTTTCTAGTTGTACAATTGTTATAAAGGTCTATTTGATCTTCCCTTGCAGCATTCAAAAAATTAATTTAATTTTCATCTGACATGTATCCTTCAGTGTGTGTTTCTCTGCAATTGAAGTCTTATTTTTTCCATCAGTACAACTTCTATAAAACACTGCAAAAACATTCTGGGCACATAAAAGATGCAGCAGCAATTTATTATAATTCATAGATGATGGTCTATAAATTGTTTACATTCAATGTTGAATTTTCTTTTGGGTTCACACAACATATTACATTCTTCTTCAGTAGTCTATTGGAAAATCAAATTTGGTTAACAAACTTTTGTCTGGAACCAAAAAATTTGTTAACCGTGATGGGTCCACTGTGCAGTCAAACCTCAATTTAGGGCCATCATTTGACCTAAAACATTTTTTGGCTCTAACAAAAGATGGCACAATTTGTATTAAAATCTTGTACTGTATTTCCAGAGCTGATCTGCAAGGGATGATCTTCTGGGTGATCAGGAATTTTATTCTTTTCACACCAATAACATTACAATTATATTAAACAATTACAGTATACCAAATACAAGCATATTAAATTATACTAAATATAACAATTATTTTAAATAATTATACCAAATACAATTATATTAAACAAATATATCAAATACAATTTTATATTAAACGATTATACCAAATACAATTATATCAAATAAAATTAAATTATAATAAATATAAAAATTATGTTGAACAATTACCGGTATATTAAATATTTCGTTTTCTTCTGTATTGCAAAAGAAGGGGATGCAACAAAGCGAGTAAGCAACGGACTGCATGAAATCAAACGAAAATACGCCTCACCTGCATAACGAATCGTTTCAGACTGATGCCCTCAAACTGGTCGGCATCATTCTCGAAAAACTTGAGGTTGTAGTGAAAAATGAGCGAGGACTGCATAGTCGCCGGCATTGCGATCTTCACCGTAGTCGCACCTATGAGGACACACAAAAAACACTCATAATTCATAGATTTAAACACGAAAAATAGGCAGCTAAATTCCTTCACAAGAAATCCCGTTATAAAGAATTTTTTCCTCGGTCCCACAGCAGTTTCTTCAAGAGAAATTCAAGAAAGGGAAAGTCTTAAATAAAAATAACTGGATTGTACACTTTCAACTTTTTCAACCCAGTATTTCATTAAAAAGCGTTTGGAACTATGACAAAAGGATTCCTCATCAAAGTATTCTGGAAGCTTTTCACGGCATTCATTACCCGTTTCCCGCAAAATTTCAGTCCTTAATTCTCCCAGAACCACAAATATTATCACTACAACGAATTTTCTGTCCCAGGTCTCTGGGAGTTCGTTGAAACGAGACTTTCAACATACCAGTGGAATCCGTATGCATAACAGCTTTCGTATCCGCATCCGGAAAGAACAATCCATAGCGGAAGAAAAGCGATCGCACAAAGGGCAATTCTTCGAATTCTTGNTTTAAAAATAAAATCAAGCGAAGTCTGACTCCAAGATTTTTTTTCATGAGAAAAAATAAGGAATTTCTCCTCACAGTCCAGAGAGAATTTTAAATCTCCTAAAAACTGAAGAGAGGGAACCAAAAAAATTAAAATTTTCATGTTCTATAGCTGCCAACGACATGAATTTACCAATCCTTGTTTCCCCACACAAAACAAAACACAATTTCCTCCTCCTCCTCCTCCACAAACACAAAAAGAAAACAAACACCCACATCATTTTCAGTTGCGTTTGGAAGAATTGATCAAGTATTTGCAGCAGTGAGTCAACAACTGCTTCTCGGCTGCCTTCTGGTCCTCGCCAGCCAACTCCCGCGTGTAAATATCCATCCCGTACTGGCCCTCCTCCGGGAAACTCGTGTAAAACGTGACGATATCGTCAGTGACAGCGTGGGACACGTGCTTGGACAATTTCCGCTCCTCAGACCCGTTCTTGTGCAACGTGGCCATAAAATCCGTGAGTGGATGCGACATGCGAAACTGAATTTCCAGGTCTCGGGCTGCAAAAATCAGGGCATCCGGGTGCGTGATCGGGACCAGGCCAAAGAGTCGGGTGGCCTTTGTGGGGCCCCATTCGCCGCTGGCGCAATCGGGCAGAGGCACCATGACGGTTTGCAGGTCTTTGCAGACGATTTGAAATTTGCAAACGCTTTTGAATTTCATGGGCTCGCCGGTGAGGTATTCGTGCGGGGTGACGGCGTTGGCGAATATGTCCAGCAGGAGTGGGCCACTGTGCGGGGCGTGGACTCGGAATGCAACCACGCTACCCACGACCGACTATATAAAAAATTTTTTTTAACAACAACAAAAACGAAGAGGAGAAATGAGGATTAAACAGGCCCATGAATTCCCAACAACTCACAAAAATTTCACAATTCATGTACAGGGGACACTTGGTCAACAAACCACGCAGTTTATGCTCTTCTGTGCTTGGTTTTCTAGTTGTACAATTGTTATAAAGGTCTATTTGATCTTCCCTTGCAGCATTCAAAAAATTAATTTAATTTTCATCTGACATGTATCCTTCAGTGTGTGTTTCTCTGCATTTGAAGTCTAATTTTTTTTCCATCAGTGCTACTTCTATAAAACACTGCAAAAAAATTCTGGGCACATAAAAGATGCAGCAGCAATTTATTATAATTCATAGTTGATGGTCTATAATTTTTTTTATATTCAATGTTCAATTTTCTTTTGGGTTCACACAACAGATTAAATTCTTCTCCATTGAAGTCTATTGGAAAATCAAATTTGGTCAACAAACTTTTGTCTGGAACCAAAAAGTTTGTTAACTGTGGGTCCACTGTACAGTCAAACCTCAATTTAGGGCCATCATTTGACCTGAACATTTTTTGGCTCTAACAAAAGATGGCACAATTTGTATTAAAATCTTTTACAGTACTGTATTTCCAGAGCTGATCTGCAAGGGATGATCTTCTGGCTGATCAGGAATTTTATTCTTTTCACACCAATTACATTACAATTATATTAAACAATTATTCCAAATACAATTATATTAAATTATACTAAATATACCAATTATATTAAAGTATACTAAATATAACAATTATATTAAAGTATACTAAATATAACAATAATATTTAAGTATACTAAATATAACAATTACACTACAATATACTAAATATAACGATTATATTAAAGTATACTAAATATAACAATTGCACTACAATATGCTAAATATAACGATTATATTGAACAATTATATCAAATACAATTACATTAAATTATACTAAATATAACGATTATATTAAACAATTATATCAAATACAATTACATTGAATTATACTAAATATAAAAATTATATTGAACATTATTCTGTTTTCTTGCGCACTGCAATGAAGGGGATGCAACAAAGCGAGTAAGCAACAGACTGCATGCGACACCTGCATGAAATCAAACGAAAATACGCCTCACCTGCATAACGAATCGTTTCAGACTGATGCCCTCAAACTGGTCGGCATCATTCTCGAAAAACTTGAGGTTGTAATGAAAAATGAGCGAGGACTGCATAGTCGCCGGCATGGCGATCTTCACCGTAGTCGCACCTATGAAGACACACAAAAAATGCTCATAATTTAGGCACTTGACCACGAAAAATATGCAGCTAAATTCCATCACAACAAATCCCGTTATAAAGAATTTTTTCCTCGGTCCCACAGCAGTTTTCTTCAAGAGAAATTCAAGAAAGGGAAAGTCTTCTTATATAAAATCCCTGGATTGTACACTTTCAACCTTTTCAACCCAGTATTTCATTAAAAAGCGTTGGGAACTATGACAAAATGATTCCTCATCGAAGTATTTTGGAAGCTTTTCAAGGCATTCATTACCCGTTTCCCGCAAAATTTCAGCCCGTCATGCTCCAAGAACCACAAATTTCACCACAAATTAATTTGTTGAAACGAGACTTTCAACATACCAGTGGAATCCGTATGCATAACAGCTTTCGTATCCGCATCCGGAAAGAACAATCCATAGCGGAAGAAAAGCGATCGCACAAAGGGCAATTCTTCGAATTCTTGCAGAGTGATGGGTTTGCTCACTAGTTGCCACTCGGCTTGCAGCGGGAAGAACTCGTAGATGAACTCTTTCGGGTCCGTGAGGAAGTAATGATCGTCGTATTCATACCTTTCAAAAAAAACAAAAAGTCGATTAACCTGTTGAGCTACTGAGTCTGTTCGACACAAGACAAAATCACACGAAAAATAACATGAAGCTCAAGTGTAAAGTTTTTCTGCCGTATTCAAATACAATTTAATACAACAGAATATTGAAAATTCATTTTTTTACACATAGTCTGCCAAACAAAATAGAAAAGCTGTTCTTTCATTTGCATTCGGGTTTTATATCGATTGCCATCCTTGAGAAATCACCAATTTATCCATTAAAGCTGCAACTGTATCAATAAAATTATCATCGAGAAATGAGTCACGCAACGAAAAAATATTTTTAACGAAATGTAAATTCAGAAATAGAATACTGTATAGATAATTGGCATTTCAATCATCAACAGAAAAACAAAAGACCCAACTTCAAACGCCACGAAAAGAAACATTTTTTCAAAGATAAAAATTTCGCCTGTACAGCAACAAAAACAAGGTCCTCACCATGTCGAAGATTATCTTCAACACGAAAAAAAAAAAACACGTTGTCAACCTATTTTTTGTTTATCTTTTACCAAATTAAACTTTTAAAAAGTTTTTCTGTTTCATCCTGCAGGGTTGCCAACAGCAGCACTGCTCAAAAATGCCACAGCAAAGTGGATGTTGAACCCACCGGAGGCTTTCCGTCTTGGCCTTGCCCCCGGGCTTGGGCACGTCCTTGGCATTCACCAAGTGTCGGGCTCCCCAATTGCACTGGACAAACCTCCAGGCCCCGGCAACATACACCGCATTCCAGGAATTGCGGAATCGGTTGTCTTTGAATTGGAGTCCTGGCTGGTAACCCGCGGATTTCGAGTAGCCCTTGATGACCACGCAATGCAGACCAACGTAACTACAGCAACAAAAAAAAGGAAGAAACAATACATGAGCATTGTTCATGATTTCTCTTCTAGGTTTTAGAAGCCCACACATGGGGCAATGAAAAAATTCAAGAAAGAAAATAGGCCAACGATTCACCCTCGATTAAAAGATCAAGCGGTTGGTAAGTTTAAAATAGCAAATAATCTGTCACAGTGAAACAATGGCACTGATGGAAAACTGTTCCATGATCTGCTAGGGAAATTTGTGAATGCATTGTTGACATCAGTGGCCAAGCTTTTTCTTTTCACAAGATCACTCCATTTCTCAAACAACTTACGAAAAATCTGAACATTTCACAAATGAAGATCCTGACTAGATTGGGTCCAAATTTGAAACAATTTCTTCTGCCAATGGTTTTGAAAGTCTTCATGCAAGAATTTTCACATTTTTCTCAATTATTTGAAAAATTCAGTGATCTTGTAAACAAAATGCTTGGATACAAAAGTCAAAAATGAATTTTAAGCTTCCTTCAGCAAATCAAGAACAGTTCAGTGGAATTGTTCGCACGTGATGGAAAATTTTGCTCATGATCCAACACTGGATCTTCCAGTCAATGGTCGGCCTATTCCCTTTCTTGAACTTTTTTCATCGCTCAATCTGTCAGCTGTCAAAACTTATACAAATCAACTGAAGAAAAGTCGACTTCCACACCTGCACAATCGCTTGAACAAAACGTGGTAGCTCTCAGTTCCGTACTTGATCCCCCGCAAGAGCCCCATTGGCGTGTCCGTTTGAATATTGTCGTCGAATTCCATGGTGTTGAGGTTCTTCACTGTGATCCATCGGAAAATAGCCCTGATTTAAAGAGACAAAAAATGTGCATCAAATGACAAAATACATGAATTAAATATCAAAATGAACCTCCTCGAGTCAAACTTCAAAGGACTGGCGAAGCAATTCAATTGAGAGAAATGAGCAGTTTTGTATGGGGGGAAAGGAAGAAGAATCACAGGGAACGGTAATTGGAAATATTCTAGGCCTTAAATTGCTTTGCAAATGAGTTGACAGGATGCTGAACTCAAAGACAAGGGTTAATTTGCCCAATTAGTCTTTCACTTCCTTTCAGACCACATCAAGTTGCAGTTTTATTCCTTTTCTCTTTCCTGTGTCTATAAAATATTGGCCAAAAGGCTTCCTGAAAATTCGAGCCATGAAAGGTTTGAGAGGGAAAGCCTTTGATAATGCAATTGTCTCTAAGGAATTTCAGACAGGAACTTGGAAAAAAAAATTCAAAACAGGGAGGTATTTGACTATCAAGGTTCAACAGTATGATATACAGTGAGACCCCAATATGCAGACACCCCAAAATACAGACAATTTGACTTAGGGACACTTGAAAACCAAAAACATCAGGCCTGACATTGTGAAATTGGCTCAAGTTAGGGACAGTTTTCTAAAATTTTCCAATACAATCAAAACATTTTTTAAAATTTTTATTTATTTTGAAAAAAAAAAAAATCAATACAGCAATCATGAAAATTGAAAAAATATTTCATGATAAATTCAGTCATATCAAAAGCAAGCTGATTTTGTGCTTTTTTTCTCAATCATCTGTAAATATTCTAACAAGACTTATTATTTTTCTTTGCTTTTTGATCTCCTTTTCATACTAAAAGATAAAATTCTATGCGGTTTTGTTCTGCACTGTTTTTTTCTACAACTTCAAGTCGAGGGAAAAAATTTTTATTACATTTTCTAAGGACTTATTTCTAATGTTTGACAAAGAGAAGAACCAATTAAATACATAAGCATTGAAGTCTAAGGGAAAATGAGACTCGACTTCGGGACATTCCAACATCAGGACACTCTTGATGCACCAATTACGTCCGCATCTCGGGGTCTTACTATAAATACAAACGAATCGATATTGCAAAAGAGACACAACCACGCGGGTGCCTCCCTTTTTCCGAAAAATTGCCTCAGGCAAAGGCTCACGCCATCTGTTCCCCTCGAAGAAACACCTGTCAGTGTCAGTACTTATCGGTACTGGAGTAAACAAAAAGAACCACGACGCCGGGTCACACCGTAAATCTCCCACGAATTTTACGAATGCATAACGTGAGCAATTTCGTGGGCAGTGCAACGCGGAAGTCGTAAAAATTATCAGTACGGTAGAGTAAAAGTACTTGGTATTTTTCCCACATCATCAGACCCACGCTTTTCGCAGGGGGGAAAGAAAGCAAGACGAAAAGAAAAATCTCGAATCAAACTGAAAATGTCGAACACCGCTTTGCGCAATTATTCTCAAACCGTTTATGCCTCAAAATGCTCCAGTCTGACTTCAAAACTACGATATTTTAAATTTAAGAAAACCAAAAGTTTTGATTTAGACATGGATTGAACACGAATTCAACTTATTTCCATTTGTTTTCATTAAAACTTCGTTTTCCTGCTACACTTGGTCCAACATTTTCCAATAAAATCAAGTATAATTCTCACATAAATTAACTAAAACTTTTAGAACAAATTTTACTCATCTATGCTGATCACGCCCCCTTTTTTTACCACTCAAATTCGAGTGAAAAGGTGCTCGCTGTACTCAAGTGAATACGGTATTCTTTCTTTTTACAGGTGGACTCCCTCCACAACAAAATTCTTGGGACAAAAAAAATCGTTATACACTAGAGAGAATATCGTTGCAGAGAACCCAAACATGAATTTTTCACACATAGAAAATCCTTGTAGGCAAGATTTTTGTAGAGAGATTCCGCCTGTATATGTATTCATTCACTTGAGCCCAACTCGCAGCATTTTTCGAAAATGTAGACCACAAATTACAGTTTTTTTCTGCATCAAACGCAGGTAAATTTTGAGAATTTCAGATGCGCAGCAGACTTGAATCAAAAATAGCTGTTCCTCCAATTCAAACCCTTTTCAAGTCATTCATTTTTTTTTTTTCTCGCTGGTCTCTCATTGAAATTTTGACACTAAACTGCACATTCGCATTCCTTCCCAACGTGGTCGACACGCACAAAAACACACACACACCTAGCTTTCTCGACATCCGAAGCACACGAGCCAATGAGTTTGCGAACCAAGTCGGTGAAGGTCTTCTGGTCCTCCTGGGCCACAGTGATGGCCTTCTGATCAATGTCCGTAAACACGAGCGGGTTGTCGTAGATCTCCAACTTGGCCTGCGCCGGCGGCAGTGGCGTCGGCGGCTCGCTCGGATACGGTAACAATTCCGCCAGCTCTTCCACGTCCGGCTCGAGTTCTTGTTGGTAGAACTCGGATTTCTTCTCGTTGATCAAGTTGATCATCTCTTTGGAATGCTTCTCAACCAGCGCCGCCGTCGCTGCCCTGCAAAACAGTGAAATAAAGCACCCACAATGAAAACGTCTTTCTTTTCACACAAAAAAAAAAGCAAGAATTTCAGCGCTGCCCAATATCTTCATTAAATAATGGTGTCTCGGTGAACGGAGTTTTTCCATTCCAGTGGAAACTCCATCAGCGAATTATTTGGAATTCAATGTATAAAAAAAAAAAGAATTCCGAATGCCCGAAAAATGTTTCTGAATGAAGTGTAATATAGGGTAATTTTGAATTTTAAAACCCTTCAAAACCCCTTGGTAACATCCTTCCTTCCTTTCTAGAATAACTTGCTGAACAAATACTGTATATGTTCACTGGAGCCAACCTTGAAGCATTTTTCAAAATTGGGCACCAAAAGCAAGATTTTTGGGCCACATCAGACCCAGGTAAATTTTTAGAAATTGATATGAGTATCAGACTCGAATCACTGGGCGCTAATTCTAAAAAAAAAAAAAAATATTGAAAAAGCTGATGAAAAATGTTCACAATTTTGGCTTCAAAAAAAAAAAGCTCAATTCAATTGCTTTCAAGTCGGGTTCTTTCACAAGACTCACTTTTTAAAAATAAATTGTTAATTTAGGACCAATTTTTTTAAAATACACTGAAAACATTCCTAATGGAATGCAGAGTTTTGTTATCTGACAGAGTATCGTTGTTATGCACCAAAACAATTGTCAAAATTCAGATACAGTAAATTATTCACAGTAAACACGGAATACAGGCAAAACATTTCTGGGTCATACTAAAAATTAATTTTTCATGACATTTCAAAACTATTCAGCGCTTGATTTCTTTTTCTTTTTTTACATTGTCGATGAAATTGAAATAAAAAATTTGATACGATGTAGGGAATCTCTCTCTTTTTCTCCAAAATCTTACGAGCTCTAGAAGAATGAGGCATAATAGATACAGTACAATACTGTAGTACAAGAACTAAATTGCTGAACAATAACGTAGATGAAATTCAGGCGACACCTACGCAAAATTCTGATAAAAAAATAGCCCTTCCAAACTAACCTCGAAACAATACCCAAGCATCCGACGTCAGTAGTTCAAAATGAAATCAAAAATTGACCAAAGATAAATTTACCGCGAAAACAAATACTTAGAGCACGGTTTTAAATGAAGAAAAAGCAGCTTAATTTTTAAGACATACCTTAATTACTGCTTATGCAGCAAGTGAGTCCCCGCGTAACGAAAAGTTTCAGGGGAGAAAACAGGATTCAAATTACGAATTTTTTTTTCACATAACGAATTTTTCTGTCCCAAAAAATGCACCAATTTAAAAAAATTTTGAACTTAACCCCGAAAATTTTTTTTTTAGATCAACAAAAAAGAGGAAGGAAAAGTGCGGTTTTAAATTTTCTCGTCTTCAAAATGCGAGAAATTCAGAAAGTTACGAGAAAGCGTTTTCGGGATCAAAGTACGGTACTTCGAACTTAACGCTTAGCAATATTAAATTTTTCTTCTGATAAATTACGAAAATTGTTGAGTTCATCATGATGACCAGAATCAATAACAACGTAATCTTTCAGGAAAAAACGCATTTCACGCAACGAAAATTCGGATCAAGGAACACATTAGTTTTCGTTAAGCGGGGGACCCACCGTATTTCTTCCGCATGTTGGTTCTTCCAAAATACTCTGACCTAAATTTCCCTTCCCCGCAAAAGTCGCTGTACCTTCACACCGAAACAATGAACGAACATTCATTAACGTGAATTATCATTAACATACTCTCTCTCTCTCACCGCAAATCACGGGGCCTAAAAAAAAAACAAAAAACAAACAAAAAGGAACCCCGAAAAAAGTCGCGCAGGGTTTCAACAACGACAAACATTCTCCTTTTTTCACACCAAAAATAAAATAAATAAAAACGACGCTCGCCTTTCATGCTCCAGTAACTTCTTGGTCAAGGACTCCTTCTTCTTATCGCGTTTCAGCGTCATATTCTTTTCCAAATCATCCCGTTCCCTCTGATGCCTGATGGTCAACACTTGCGCGTCATCTGCTTTCCGCTTCTTGCCCGCCATCTCTCGCTCGAACCGCGTCGTCAGCCGTTCCAATTCCTTCTCCCATTCTTCCTACAATGTTTTTTTTTTTTTTTTTTTTTTTTTTTTTTTTTTTTTTTTAAAAAAAAATCCTTCCCCCGTTCTTCCTACAATTTTTTTTTTTTTTTTTTTTTTTTTTGCGTTCGATTTGTTGAAAAAAAAAAGAGATGAGAGAACAGAAAATGAGAATCAGTTCACAAGAGCACGTACGAAGGGATTTGTTCACATACTGCCTTTTGTGTGAGTGTTACCACCTGAGAACACGACCAGAAAACAGGTACGAAGAGACCTCGACATGCGGACGCATCGACACAAGGAAGATTCGACTTATGGACACTTGGAATTTTAAAAAATATACCCCAACAATTCAAACAATTTCTCGAGATATTTCCAGAAAAATAGAAAAAATTTCATTTTCGAAATTTTTATATCACTCAAACATATTCAGCTACAAATTTATCTTCACAAAAATTGAAAATAAATCTCATCATGAATAATTTATTATTTACCCTGATTCTTAATAAAAACAACAGGCTGACTTTGTGCTTCTTTTTCAAAAGTTTTTTTTTCTATAATCTGTGCACATTATGGCAAGACTCAAATTCTTATTACTTGCATTTTGATGCCAGAAGAGCGCATTTTATGTGGTTCTCTTCTGCACAGTGATTTTCTGAACCTTGAAGTTAAGGGAAAACATTTTTAATTAAATTGTTGGGGGTCTTCTTCCTAATTTTTGAAAAAAAAGAACCAATTAATCACGTTCCCATTGAAGTCTATCTGGAAATCGGGATTCAACATGTGGACGATCCGAAATAGGGACTCAGTCCAAGAACCAATTGCGTCCGCATCCCGGGGCCCACTGTATAATGCCCAACAAAAAATGATATTTTAGTTTTTAAAAGCATAATAAATCATCGAAAAAATCGTGATTAATTCCCAGGACGTATCATTCGAATCCTTCCATATTCTCAGGAAAACACGAATGAAATCCCAAAAAAAAAAAAACAATTGCAACAGAGGAATTTCGTTCCAAAATAATTCGCCCACAACCAAAAATTTAGTGATAAAATAAATAATAATTTACATCATCTAAAACTACACCGATTTAACAATTTTCAACGATTCTTCGAGCCATGAGCATAAGCAACTAATCCTAGAAATCCTTCAACAAAGTGCATCTATTCTACCAAAAAAAAAAATTATCGACATTTGTCTCGTCTAAAAAAAAAAACTTCGAGCAACCAGAAATAATCTCAGTATTTTTTTTATATACAACAAACGCCCGAAAAAAGGAAATAAACCCACAGAATATCAAAGAGAGTGTTTTCCTTTTTTCTTCAGGAAAGGGAAAGAAGAAACTGACCTGATGGTGACGTTGTGAGTGATGAGCCAGAGTGCCAAAGAATATTTCTCGGAACTGCTTGTGCAACCCTTCCGCCACTGGAAGAAAGTTAGCAAGTGCAGGTTTCGAAAGGATATGCCCCAGAATCCGAACCATAATATTTTTTTTTTCGTGCACATGACAAGAAACAAGAACAACTTCTACCATTGCAGATTAGATTTGCACAGACGGATCAAAAGGCTCGGAAGTCCGGAAGTCTTGATAATTTCTTCTTTTTTTTTTTTTTTTTTTTACGAAAAAGGCGAAACGGAGTAATGAATTCAGACCACAGTTAACTTCCACCAAATACAAGTCCGACACCAAATCAACGAGTCAAAATTGAATTCATTCCGAATATCATGCAAATGTTGCTCATTTTTCCATGCAACAAGTCTTCGAGTTTACAATAAGATAAAGGCAAACATTTTCTGCACAATACTCCCAACTCCATCACGGATTTTAAATGGATAAGGCTCCTGTATTCTTCCTAATCAAACTCGAAAGAAAATTGCGAGAATCGAAACTGATTTGATCATCATAATCCTTTTTCCGTCACTTTTGGATACTGTACACTTGAACCTCTTCACGTCGGATTTCAAGGGACCAGCGAAGATATTTCGAACATTTTTTTGTTTGGAGAAAGAAAGAATAATTGCAGGAAATCGTAATGATCGATACTCTGGACATAAATTTGTTTCATAAATAAATTAACAGGATGCTGAACTTGGGAGCAAGGGTTCATTTGCCAAATTATTCTTTTAATCCCTTTCAAAACGCATCAAGTAGAATTTACACTGCTTTTCCCTTTCCGACGTCAATAAAATTATATTCAAAATGCTCCAGAAAATTCGAATGAAAGCTATCGAGTTCGGGAGGTTTTCAATACAAAATCGTTTATTCAAAGGGAAATCTGACTTACTGAGGTTCAACTATATTTTCCTTCCTAACACGATCCATTGATTAAAATACAGTAAATCGTATTCGGTCTCGATCACAATCACTTCGAAAATTGAATAAAACTTCTAAAGCGTGACGTAAACCTCGAAATGTAATTTCCGTCATTCGAAGCATCTATAAATAAATAAAAATTTCTAAACTCTGGAACACCTGCACTAAGAACGTGACGGAACAACGAAAATAAAAATGTAAAATAATCAGATAAGCTACGGAAGTAAGACACCAAATGCGATCACATACCAAAACAAAAATTACCCGGATTCCGTATAAAACACAAGTTGATAAGTGTTTAATGAAAAAGAAAAGCATTCCTAAAAACAGCAAAACTCACTTGAATTTGACACTGCATTCTCGACTCCTCTTCTTTCCGCTGCATCGCAAACTTTCTGTACAAATCATCTTCCTCTTTTCTGTGTCTGTATTCCAATTGCACCTGCACGTCTTTGTCCTGCAAAAAAATATATTATAATAAATACGGCATTAGTAAAAAAAAAAGGGGGGGCATGTGTGATACGTGAAAAGCGAGTGAACTTCCTGGGCAACGCCCATCAAGATACGATCGCTTGGATAAAGGTATTTATCAGATGCGAAGTACGACGCAAATACGCTTATCGAAAAAAAGAAACACAGTTCTCTAACATTCACGTATATTCGTATTCGACGAGAACAAAAATCAGGCGACACCTACACGAAGATGAAGAAAATCCCATATTCCAAGACATCAACATTTAAAGCGAAACAAATACATTTTAAATAAGATACTGTATTACACAAATCAAGAAGCAATTCGAGTCAGGGAAACACATTCTTCGTTGGGGGAAAGAAAGAAGAATTGCAGGATATTGCAATTAGGGGTATTCTGAATCTTGAATTGCTTCTCGAATAAGTTGACAGGATGCCAAACTTGTTCTTATGCTCAATTACTCTTCCACTTCATGTGAAGGTATGGAGGTTCAAGGCGGAAAGCCTTCGAGTTACACAGGTTTTTTGGGCGTTGTTTCAAAGAGAATTAGAGAATGTTTCATGATTTTCGAGCAGTTGATAATATATTCGAAATTACACCTTCCTTGGTAACGGTATTTGGAAAAGACACCATGGGGAGAGACTCGCGAATAACATCTTCCCGGGCATTCTCTCGCAGAACAGGAATAAATTTCCGTCACGGATCCTTCCCAGACCGTCTTGCAAATGCACATTTCTAGGCTACCGTGAATTAACTTTTCTCACTTCACACTTTCCCACCATTCCTTAACCTTACTTCTTTGTCAACCTTTCGATATAAAATTTTCTCGGGCATCAACGGACAAGGTCAGGAAGTTTGCGTACATCAAGTCGTGGAACAAAATCCACAATGAACTTAGGAAAAAAAAACAAACATCGACTCACCAAATACGTATCCAAAGGTCTGTCATAAGAAATCTTCTTGTAGTTCCGCTGCAACTCAGTGGCTCTGAGAGCGTGAGCTATGTGCAACGCACTGGCATCAAACCGTCCATACTGGTAATCCGATGTAGTGATGGAAACATTATGGCTTTCGTCACTGTTCAACATGTTCTTAGAATTATTCAAGTGTGACTTGATGGCGAGCGCATCAGCGTCGAATGTTCCTCTCCCAGTGCCTCGGATTTGATCGTTTATGTACAATGCTGACTTCGGGGCATTCAAGGCAGCTCGAATGCCTACAGCTGTGCCATCCATGTGACCAGGACCGATTTTCGGAACATGACTACTGCAGTACACTTCCTTGTCGTCCTGATTGTGCTGGTTGTTGAAGTAGGTGCGGAGACTTAAGGTCGTGCTGCAGACGAGGCACTTGAAGCATCCTTTGTGGAAAAAGGTGAAGTCTTTCAGTGGACCGACTTTGTCCACCTGGTAGACTGTGTTGTTGCATCGCAAGCAGGAACTCTCGTAGTAGTTGATCTTCGGATTGAACATGTTCCACGGAGTGCTCCCGGTTGCCCAGGAAGAAGAGTTTTCGACGAACGATGTTTGTAAGTCTGTATGCGCTGCGTTTCAGTGATTTTCACTCAAGTAACACAAACATAACCATCTGAAACAAGCGCGGATCTGCAATGGAATTACACTATGCTTTCATCCGAGATCACACATTCCGGCTGCTAAAACGATTGCTTCCGCATTTTAGGACAGGCATGTGGAGTGTAAAGCTCAGCACTGGAAGCTCAATCAAGCTACACTCGAAAACCAGCCGAATATTCAGCCGTAACAGTTCATTTGGGTCACAGCCCTCCCGAACGCGAACGATAACCGAATCACTGAGGCGATTTGAAATGATCCCGAAATAACAACACACTCTCCAAAAAAAAGCACTAAACACTCGGCGAATTAAATCGGTTATGCAAGATCAAACACCTAAAATTTGCCAGATCCAAAAAACCTGCATGTTCAGCGGCTTCTCACGCAGGGACAGATGGCACATGTTCACCTACTCAAGTGGGAACGTTTCTGTGATCAACAATCATAGGTTTATGAACGATTCTGGATTCGATAAAACATCGAAATAGAGCCTGCTAAGGTCTAAATTCATATCATCTTACTCGATTGTACGTTCTAAGTGAGCCGTTCCATGGAGGGAAACGCGCACAAACAAGTGGCACACTTGCTCTGTTGACCCGGCAAACACCTCTTTTCGTTCACTAAAAGGCAATATTTCTTGAAAACCCATCACCTCATGGGATACTGGCGTCACTGAAATTGACAAACTAACCATGTGTGCTTCACAGTTAAGGAATTTCACAAACGCAACCCTGTGCTTGTCCCAACTCCTACGCAAGGGCGCACTACTATTGCCATATACGTCAAGTATTCACTGGCTCGCACAATGGGGTATGTCAATCACCTGAATTATTAGTCCTGTACCCTGGTTGGGGGGGGGGGATTGTAGCCAGTACGCTACAGAAGTATTCGAACTATTGTACTGCAATATGTACCAATGATTGATAAAATAATTTTTGGATAATTTTTAATTTCTTTGCGCGAATGCTTTTCCTTTATTCTTAACCAATTGCCGACGGCCGTAGTATGCGGACTGGTGTAGGAGGCAGGGCTTACTCCCCAGGCACAGCATTCTCCCTCAATAGGAGGAGCGGTCCAAATCCATGGAGCGCCATGCTGTAGGGCTTCAGCGCAGCAGCAGTACTCCGCGCAGTGGATTCCTTCCACAGAATTCAGAGGAAATTCTAACTTAATGGTGATTCTTGAAGCAGCATTCATGTTGGCGAACAAATTTTGGATTCTGCTGGAATATATTTTCATGATGGCACACAATGTGTGCGAAGTTCATTATGATGAATTAAAGCATGCGCTGCTGCTGGTAGCAACTATAAAAAATACTGAACAGTATAACCAAAACAATCTTTCATCATGCTGGAACTGTATATCCTAACCTAACCCATCATGAATGCAACTAGAAAATATAAAAAGAACATTATTTTACCATGCTTTAACTACTCATGATGAACTTTGCACAAATTGTGTGCCATATGGTCTGTACAAGGCCTCATGGGATGGGAAAATATATTTCTAAGGAATTAAAAAAATGTTGCCAAAGTAAATGCTGTTTTGAGAATCACCACAGAATTGGCTTTGCTCTGAATTTTGTTGAATGAACCACTGTGTAAGTGTTCACCCCAGTATGTGCCATCTCTGTGCCATCTACACTAGTGCCAATAAGTTGTAGGACATTTTCTTCAGCATGATGAATTTATCAAATAAGGTACAGTAATATATAATGAAGTACGTCTGCCTGTTTTTATCTATACATTATTTTTTAAGACAATAGCAGCAGTTGAAATTACCTGCCAAAAATTTTACAGAAATTTGCCAATCTGTGGGCCCAAAAAGGGAATTGACAAGGAGAAATATTCAAAACCAAGATGTTTGGGCAGAAATTTTAAAGTTTGAAGTGTCAGCAAGTCAAATGGTCTGCACGTTTGGGGGGCATCCGTATTTTGATTGGGAGTTTGGGACCCATTCATTGTTCATTGGGATTGAGACAGTACTGTTCACTTACACTCATAATTATACCTGAATAAACTTTTTAATTATATATGGATTTTTCCAATCAATGATGGAAGAGCATCATTTTGGATGTGTATGATATACTTTAAATTCAACTTTATTCTTCTTGAATAATCTAAGAAAAGTTGTGAGAAAAAATTTGAAAATGAGATGAGTTTCAGCCAGATGAGTAGATGCTGTAATTTGATTTCGGAGTGTCATATAAAATATATGTAGGATCAGTGGAAGAGCAATAAAAAACAATTTTCATAACTTGCATTTTTAGGGAGATAGAGAAGTTGACTGCAAATGATCTGTCTTCAATTAGTATGAAGAAGCCAGGTTCAACTGAGAAAATTCATGCATATCATGATGCAGTAAATATAGCATATGATATACACACATACAGGGTGGGCCAGAAAAATTGAACCAATTTTCAACTTACAATAGGTCATTAGCAAATCAAGCTGTGGCAATTGCATGTACATATATATTGCAATATATATATATATTGCATCCTTCCATTTATTGATGAACATATTTTGCATAGAAAATATTCATAGTAAATATTCAAATGCATTTTGAAATTTTTATTCTTATAATTCTGTATATATACTCCTTTTTATGTTATATTATGCTCTATAATTGTTTCTTTGGGCTGGCCTCTAATTGTTTCTGATTTTATTCAACTTGAAATGACTACTTTTTATTTTTTTACCTGATCAACATAAAATTGCCTGCATAATATATAACCTGCTGATTTGAGTTGCTTGTCATGAAAATTTTGTTCTTGGTCACCACTTAGAGTAATTTTGAAAAATCCACAGGTTTGAGTCCAATAAAATATTCTGCATATATCTGTGACACATATCAGGTTTCTTATCAGTATGAATGTGCTGAGGACACACACACATACCCAACAATTCCATGAACAGTCTGGGATGACTGTCACCTTATACATTTCATATCATCATTTTCAACTCTGAGATAAGAAAAATGGGAGAAAAAATCTTAGTTCAACTGATATCCAGAAATCATGTGGATTTCAGCCTTGGATGAGTTGTCAGAGGTATTTTATTCTCTGCATTGACTGTGCTGTTGTTGGCTGTGAAATGCGCAGGAAAACGCGTCAGACATGCATACTGGTGGTGGTCATATTAGTGGCCCTTGTTTCATCTGTTTGCTTCATTTGGGCAGTATTTGCAACCCCATCAGCTGGAGATGACAGTGTCAAAATGACATCCAATTGTGAGTGCATACATACATGCATTTTCATGGCACTGAAGAACAATTTCTGCATTATTTTTTGGCAAATAGTTTCATTGGCTTCAGCCTGAATATAGAGACAGATTCCAATCAAAAAACAAAAAGTTTTCATTGGTGGAATGTTATTTCAACAAACTTTCAGCAAATATAAAAAAATGAATTTCTCTCACTTCAGAGGCTGATATATATTTTAAAATCAGACTTTTTCTGTCCATATATAGCTACAAGATCAGCTAGAAAATAATGGACAAGTGATGAAAAGATTATCCATCAATTCCTTCTAACCTGAATATTTTTCCTGATCTCATCAAGTACATTAAACACTTCTTTCAGCACAATAGAGCAATAAATTCATCCCACACCAAATCAAAAAAGTTTCTACACTAAAAATTCTCTCTTCAAAGTATACTTATTCTGGAGAAATATGTTATTTTCTAAAATGTTCCCCCATTTGAACAGAAAATATTAAATAAAAAATACCATAAAATGTTTAACATAAACATTTTTACATTATTTTCATTTTAAAATGAAGAATTGAAAATCCATACACATTTTTTGATAATTTTGAAATGTTTCTCAAAATCAATTTTTTATATTATATTGCCTATTGTGTTTCTGATAAAGGTCATATAGTACAGACAACTTTTTTATTATATATTTCATGCTATTGTATTTTGAACCAGGTTAAAGTACCCAGCAGATAATTTGAGCGTCATGGAGCTGCTGAAGGCCATATTTTGGTCACAAAAACAGGGCAAATGGAAAACAAATTTGGGATTATCCACCCGGAACAGATTTTAGGAGTTAAAAACAAAAAGAAGGAAACCTCTTGTTATACAAACTTCTATTTTCCCTTCCTAAATAAAGAACCAGGTGAACAACTATAAACAAGAAAACTCTACTCACGTTAGTAGAGATAGTGTACAAGACTGTATTTCCATTTTCTTCAGAATTTTGATGAGTTCTGATTACATTTCTGGGAGATTCTTGAATTTATCTTATCTGTTTGATGTTTGTGTCTGACGTACAACAATAGAGTGAAATATAGTGCTCCCAGTTATCTTGATGATGTCATTCTTGTACACACCCTGGTACTCTTATTGGAATTTATTTGCAAAGCATACTTGGTCATTAACATGTTAAAATGGGCAAACAAGATACTGTAGTATAATTTATATGGTAATGTCACATCCATACCCCTTCATGCACATTACAATTAAGATATTGTTGAATGCCTGCTTTAATCATTAAGATGACCCTCTTTCATGCATAATCTCTCTATATAGTCTTAACTCTTGATCAACTGTAATATTCTGAATCAATGAAATAAAAACGAAGCAAACATAGCTGTGGAAAAGGATAAAAAAAATTCCTGTGAGAAAATCCACAAGTTAGAAAATTTGGATCTTTTTACCTTGCGATTTATTTCTACCTCTGAGGCTGGAAAAAAATGTATTTTTTGCAAAGTAATGCTTCCAGATTTCCATTAGTGGTCTGGATTTATAAAATTATCTCAAATGATGGTTGAGCCTATCAACATGGGTTTGAGTTAAATGTATTATTATATGCTTTTAAATGGTTAAATTCCATTTGATGAGTGATTTAAACAAATGTATTTCTCTAAATCTCTAAAATTTGAAATGATTCCTTGG